GTGCACTTAGCATCGAGCACTTAGCATATATATCTTTGCATTGCTGGGCATCCCTGTTAACTCCTGGAGGGCAGACTGGGTCTTGGAATCCATAGTAGCTCTGGCCTCCTCGCCTACTGCTTGCACATAGTAGGTACTTTAATCAAGTAGACTGATGACTCAGCAGGTCATGGGTGTTTATGAGCCTTAACCATGGGAGGGAGACACTGAGCTAGTTCTCCAGGTGCCTAATGAATTAGAAAGTCCCCTCCCTCCAAGAGGTCGCTGTGTGGTGTGGAAGACTGATTTTTCCTCCTCTAATAGAAGGTGGAGGAAGAAAAGAACACAGAGTTCCAGGTTTTTCCAAGGAGGGAGACTCACCCAACTTAGGAACCCAGAAAAGTCTTCCCAGGGCCCTGGTGGTCTGAGCTGGGCCTTGAAAGGAGGGTAGAATTTTGGCAGGTGAGAAAGAAGAGCCATGCAGGCAAAGGGCCTGGCGTGGGTGCGGGTGTGGAGGGGAAAGCAGAGGGTGAGGACAGGGACCTGTGAGCCAACCCAGGCTGGGGAAGGCCCTGCGGGGCTGAGGCTCGGCCTCAGTCCCGCTCTGCCTCTGTCTACACCGCTCTTCACAGATGCTTGGCTGTTCCCCAGAGCAGGCCAGGGCATCTGGGGCCCTAGGGACCAGGGGGTCCCTTTGTGTGGGGAATTCTGCCTTAGCTTATAAAACCCAGCTCCTTTTCCCTGCGCCATCTCCCCCACCCCCGACCCCACAGCAGTGAGGAGCCTGCTGCCTCAAGGAAACGCCACCTCGAAAAATCTGTTCCTTGAAGAAAGGAGCAGCTGGGCCCTCCCTGGTCCTTCCTTCCCGCTCTCCCTCTTCGTGTGCGCCCTCTTTCCCGGGTCACTCACCAGGGGCCCACCCTTCCCTTCTTTTCAGAGGCATGGAGCCAGAGGTGCCTGACTCTCGGGGTGTCTGAAAGTGTGTCCAGGCTCAGGGCTGGGGGTGGGGGTGGCCGGACTGCGCTAGGGGTGCAGAGAGCCAGATATGGGGGAAGGCCGGGCGAACCTTACCAAGGAGGCACGGTGTCCTTGAACATTTGTGGGGTTTTAGGGATCCCCCCCGTGTGCCAGGTGGTTACACCTGTGTCACTTCCTCTCTGATGAATTTAGCAGTGTAGACGCTAGTCAGAGGAAGAGTCTCTGCTGCCATCCCTGCCCCAGGAGAGCCGACCCCACCCACCGACCCCGCCGGCTCCGGCTCCTCGCAGTCCCGTTCTTCAGGGTCACAGACCCCCGCGTGCAGCCCACAGCGTAGCCATGCCAAGTCCATGCAGCACACTGTCCCAGCCGGAGAGCGCTAGCTAGAGGGGGCGGGCGACGCTCCAGCGTCCCAGGCCTCCCAGATGCCCACCGGGCCGTGGAGTCAGCGGGTTTCAGGTTGTCAGAGGTCACCCAAGTCAACCTCCTCATTTGACGTTTGGGGATACTGAGAGCTGGGGCAAGTCGTCCCGTGCCACACGGCTGACCATGGAGGAGGGACTGGAAGCTGAGCCTCCTGACCTGCTGGCCAGCGCCCTCCCCCTCCCTGGGCTACCCCGAACACCCCCCCAGGTCTGTGGCATTTCATTCTGCCAGATGAAGTCAGGGCCCCCGGCAGGGAGGCCAGCTCTTGGCCTGGCAGGGCAGAAGCACAGGGTGAGGCAGAGGTGGGGCGACGTGGGCCTGGGTGGAAGGAGCCGTTCCTTCCTTAGCGAGGTGGGGGCTTCCTTCGGCCCACGTGACCACAGAGGCAACAGGTCACTGACCTCGGTGAGAGCGCTGATTTGGGCCTGGACGACCCCGTTCCACTGTCACCCGCGGGGGCTCTGGCTCAGTCTCTTGTGAAGCCAGGTGTTCGCAGGCCTGCGGGTGGGCGGTGCTGGGCAGTAATAGGGTGCCTGAGCCCGCACGCAGGGCTGGACACGGTAGTGAGGCCCCGAAGGCAACGGGTCTCAAGACCCGGCACTTGACAGTTCATAGAGGATGTTCGCCAACAGGACTGTAATTTGCCCCGTGGGGCGGGGCTCGGGGGCCGCGTCCGCTTCCTGGGCAGGCGGTCCTCAGCAGAAGGGGCTGCGAGTCCCGGGAATGGAGTGAGTGTCCCTAAGCTCTGTGAACGCTCTCTGGCAGCGGCCCCGGGCGCTGCCCGCCTCTGATCTGCGCTCCTGCAATGCTCCCATTGCTCTCCTTCTGGCGCCCCGTACTCCTTGTGCTTCTGGCCTGCCTGATCCCCAGCGACTCTGCAGACTTCTCCACCATAGCTTTCCCTACTTCTAATCTCCCTGCACCACCTCTGACCCAGACACGAGTTGAGTGGAGAGGCCCAGGGGAGCCCCGAAGTCAGGCCCTGCAGGGAGGAGGGTCCTGGCTGAGGAGACACAACGAGCCTGCATACAGAGTCCACCTCCGTGAACTGCCTCCCGCTGGGAAGGGTGGTGTGGTCACTGAAACCGGGCAGATCGTTCCTTTTTGTCTCCAACCACGGGCAGCTTGCAGGGAAATGTGTGGAGGACCTTCCCCGGCCCATTTGGGCCTCCTGTCACCACCTCTGTACTTATTTCTCCTTGACACTGACTTCTAGACTTCTCCTCACACGTATTTCTATGCTATTCTCTGTATTCGTGTGAGGGGCTCTGGATCCCTGTGGTGTTAGCTGGGGTGTAATAAGGAAATGGATAACACCAGGACCGAAAGAAAGTGCGAGAGGCTTCTACTTGGCCAGTTAACCAGGGCATTCAGCCCCCACAGAAGCTCAGGGTCTGGAGCTTTCCAGCTGATGTTTGACCCTAGTCTGAGGCCATCAGTGGGTTCGGACTGCTCCAGTGAGAGCCTGAAAGGGAGCAGGTGTATGAGAACCAGGTTGCCCTGATTCTTCAGGACCTCCACTGGGGTGGAAGGAAACAAAAGGAAGGGGTGAGGGGCAGCACTGTGGTGGCAGAAATCGGCAAATCTCGGCGGGGCGGGGGGCGGGCAGAGGATGTGGGCGGGGCTGCACTGTGACTTTCGTGGGCCGTAGACACTTCCACCTTTGTGGCAAAAATGGTATTTTATGACTGCTCTGGTAGAAAGACGGATGTAACCCTGGCTGGATTCATTATTTTTTTTTTTTAAAGATTTTATTTATTTTTGACAGAGAGAGAGAGCACAAGCAGGGGGAACATCAGAGGGAAAGGGAGAAGCAGACTCCGAACTAAGCAGGGAGCCCGACGCGGGGTTCGATCCCAGGACCCCCGGATCATGACCTGAGCCGAAGGCAGACGCTTAACCATCTGAGCCACCCAGGTGCCCCTGGATTCATTATTATAGATTCATTTTCCCCCCCGAATTTAAAAGAAATAAAAATGAAAATATTTTCTAAGCCCCTGGAAGAACCGCGGGCCCAGGCTTGTGGCATTTTGCCTGAGGCATTGGCCCTGGCTCGGGGTGAGAAGTGTCCCTGGACTCAGGATGACTTGGAAAGGGCCCCATCCTGGAGCTCTCCCACCATGTGCCAGCTGGCGGCTTGGGCCCGGGGCCCTGGTGCTTCTGCCCCGTGGGGAGGGGACAGGTGAGCTCTGTCTGTGGCCACAGAAGCCATCTCCAGTGCCATCGTTTTGCGTTTCAGACGAGAAAGGTGAGACTCGGAGGAGGAAGCTCTCTAACTTCCAAAACACGGAGTGGACATCTAGAGTGGGAATGGTTGGTCCCCGTGGGCCTGGGCAACCCGTGGGTCCCATTACCACCCAGTGGCAAGGGTCTCCTGACCGAGAAGCCCCCTCACGCGGAGTTCATGGGACTGTGTGTGGGCAGTCTAAGTTTACCACTGTACTGTCTATGAAGAAAGGATCTATTAAGAAAAATGAAAATGAGGGACGCCTGGGTGGCTCAGTCGTTAAGTGTCTGCCTTCGGCTCAGGTCATGATCCCAGGGTCCTGGGATCGAGTCCCACATCGGGCCCCCTGCTTGGCGGAGAGCCTACTTCTCCCTCTCCCTCTGCCTGCCGCTCCCCCTGCTTGTGCTCTCTCTCTATCTCTGTTAAATAAATAAAAATCTTTTTAAAAATAATAAAAAAAAGAAAAGAAAAATGAAAATGAAAGAAAATGAGGGGAAATGGTTATACTACCCAAGCAGTTTGTTATTTTCAAGCCCCAAAGCAACACCAGTTTATATTTTCAAACACCACACAGTAAACCTGCGGGCCACCCCACAGGTAGTTCATATGTAGTCTTTCAGGCACGGTTCCTGAGACCTTTACTAAGCCGTGCACTGCGAACAGAACTCTATAACACTCTATTTCTTAAAAAATAAACCCAACTTCAGATGGCCAATGTGGCCCGGATTTGTGAGTGTTTTCTGAACGTTCTTGCTTGAAGCGGAATGGCAATGAGGCACACCTCTCAGCGGCTGGGGTGAGGGGGCCTTGCAAATCTGCACCCCATGACCAGCTACCAGCAGCAATGGCTGTTACTGCCCACTGCCCTCAAAGGGAAGAAACACACAAAATCACCCCAATACCAAAAGCAATAACAAATAGCTCTTTGGAACCCTGGGGATTTCAGCAGACCTGAACTTGACCTTGAAACGCTCAAATGGCACCACAAGGAACTTGGGATATGTTACATACAAGAGACCTTGCTTAAGCGACCCCTCCATCCCTCTCACTGTTGGACCTCACTTTTCCATACATTACCCTATACTTCTGAGGACCCCTCCTTCTGGGACTTCCTGCTTTCACAAGAGCGAATGTATTTAATTTAATGATTGATCAGGATCATGAGTTGCCAGGTTTCATTTTTTTTTAATAATGAAAATCCATAAGAGTTTAAAATATTCTTAGACACACCTAGGCAAACACCACTGACCTCCACGTCCTCGTGAATTCGCACATAAGCTAGCGAGCACCTCGGTGCTGGCTGGCCCCCTTTGGCACCAGAACACAATAATTTATTAAGCTTCAATACTTAATAAGTGTGCACAAATATCATGCAAACATATGCCCATACTCACAAACAAAAAGTGTATTAGAGTCGTAGACTTATACAAAACATCTTGTAAACAAAGGGAAAGAGGTTGGCATTCTCTGTACAAAATATGCAGGTTTTTCCTTTTTTTAATAATCTGTAAGATGCATCATACTTCTGGCATTTTCAAAAAGTGAAAACTGTATAAAAATAAATATTCTATGTACAAACACACACACAGGCCCATCCCAGGTTAGAGGCATCACTGCAAAACAAAAACACACAAAACAGAGTAGAGTTAGTGTCGGTGGGCTTGCGGGGGTCTCCTTCCCTTGTGGGAAAGGAGTGTGCTCTTTGGAGGGCTGCGGTGGTGGGCGGCTCTGGATAGGGGCACCACGGCCCCCTGGGTGCAAGGCCCTGGCGCCGTCTGCACCCCGAAGACAGAAAATCACTTTCACCTTCCTGTCATCCCCTTTGTGGACACTAGAGGGCACTTGTTCTCCATGTGGCCTTTGGAGGCCGGGCTGTGGATGAATCGCTCCATCTTCCCAGACTGAATTTATGGCGCGAACCAACAGAGACGAGGCTCTCAGGCTGCTTCCCCAAGACACTGTAGCTCTTGACGGTGACTGTTCTTCCCCTGCTAAGCTCAACCCCTCGCATCTCCTGGTCAGGGATGCCTTGGGTACCTGGGCGTGTAGGGACCCCACCTTGGGCCTGGTGTCTTGGTGGTTTCACTACTTTTAACTGAATCCTGTGAACTAATGAGATTCTGGGCATTTAGCACAGAGGAGCTATCGTCTGATTGTAAGTGTGCGTCTGCCGTCACTGAGACAGGGCTAGATTAGCTAAGCACCAAGTTGTGGACATGCTGGGATCTCCAGCCCCTTTATGAGGACAAACCAACAGCTGGAGACCATGGGGTGAGGGCTGTGAGACATCTCAGTGGGAGCAAAGTGGAGAGGGGCCGTGGAGGGAGGGTGAGCAGCACGTTAGGGCTTCTGGATTAGCAAACTGATGGCCCTCGTCAAGTTGAGGAGCCCTGTGCTTTGGGGGCCCTGGATGGGTGGGGTGATCTTGTGCAGGAGCATAGCCTTGTGGTGTCAGACAGTTTTAAGGATGGCAATGCCAAGGGCGAACAAATGAAAACTCACTGCTGGTAGGAATCCTGGGACCCCGGGAGGGGCTGGGCTGCAGGACTCGTGTGTGCAAACATGGAGCTCTGGCAGTTTGAGTTCAAGGGGAAGGGTAGAGTGGTGACCCGGCCAGTGTCTAGGAGGAGGTAGGGAAGTGATCGGAGTGTACAGTTTAAGCAACTCAGATTTCCTACATCTGGGTAAATGTCATCATGTGGCTTAATGGCTTAAATGACTTCGTGCGAACACTGAGAATAGCTACTGATAACTAATTCTAAAACGTGGTCTAGTAGTCTTTGGAGGAAAGTGCTGTGGAAATTAACCACACAAAGCATAAAGATGTCAGCTGTGTGGCTACGTGGAAATTCCAGACGCTGGGGTCTGTGGATGCCTTAAAAAGCATTTTAAAAAGTTCTCTAAGTGCATGCAGTGTGTGGGACGTTTAATGGGCACCCTGCCTTCGGGAGCGTTCCTTTCTCAACCCACGTCATTTGCAGAGAGGCCCAGGGTGGAAACTGCACGTGCTTAATCACACTTGAGAAGGGGGGGCACCACAAACCGCTGGGCAGCCTTACCTTGTTCCAGCAGCCCTGGACTGGTAAACCGTCTTCACCCTATAGTGAGGAAGGAAGGCAGATGGCTCAGACTCCGAGACAGCCCCCCAAGCAGGCGGGACGGGGGGACAAGGGCCACAGACACTGCGGCAGCTGATCAGGATGCAGCCCACCTCTTGTCTCTTTCTCTTCTCTGCTGCAGGGCAGAACCTCGGAAGGGGCTGGGAAGCCAGCCAGGCGGACTTCCCATTGACTAGGGTCCCATGTAGTTGTAGGGCAAGGCCAAGAGGGGCTGCCCTAGCCTGTGGGGTCAGCCCTAGCCTGTCAAGGACAGCCCTAAGCCCCGCGGGTCTCTGCTCTGGCTGGACTGAGGGCTAGGTGCTCATGGGTAAGTCACTCAGCGCTTGGCGGCCTGTCTTTTCCTCTGTAAAACCTGGGAAGGCACAACTGTATGAAATGGTCGCTATGGTGCCCCCAGCTCTCCTACTATCTCAGTTGCCTCTCTTCCTCAGCGGTAAGAGGAAGACGTCTAGGCAGGTCCATGTGATAATCAGTAAAGAGGAGGACGGGACACAACGGGGCAAGCCACCTCACAGGTATTGCCATGTGGCCCTGAGGTGCCTTCCGCAAGGCAACGCTGGCCTCTGGCACAGCCCTGGCCATCGTTGGGAATTTGGGGTGGGGGGGATGAAGTGGAGGATGGGATGCTGTGCGCCGTTTGTCTTCTTTGCTGGCGGGCCCCCTGCGGAGCACCTGAGTCTTCTTGGGGCCCGATGTCCCGGCTTCTCTGGCATACCCTTTGGGGAATCTGGAACTTTCGTGAGACAAAGTGGGGAGGGTGGGGCTGAACCGGGGCATAGATCTAGTTCTCAGTCCGTGTCTACTAGAACTGCAGCCCAGATTCTAGAATTCACAGTCCAGGGCACAGCAAGGATGGACACAGGGTTTCGGGGGGACCGGAGCAAGTGGTCAGCCCAGAGGCAGTTGAAGGGGAGCCTTCTGTGCCCCAGACCAATCTTAGCACCATGACAGGTGCCTAAACCGCTCACCTGACATTCAGCAGGCAGCCGGCCTGACACGGAGGGCCGAAGAAGTCTAGTTACCTTGTGCTAAGATAGCTGCCCCTGTCCCCACGTCCACAACAACACAGCGCAGGAGACGGGGAGCAGAGCAACAGCGAGAAACACAGTTTGCATTAAGGACCAAATAAAGATGACCTTTGTTGTCCCCTCTGGGTCAGGGAGGGTCTGCAAGGGGAGGTGGGACACTCCAGAGCCTCATGAAGACCTTCTGCCCCCTTCCCCAGCCTGCCACGGTGCAACACTCCACATGACTCTGGAAGGGAGAGGAGCCTCCGCGGGCCACAGCGGTATTCCCATTGGCACATGAAGGTGGCGGGGCGGGGGGGAGGGGTGCGGCGGAGGAGAGCGAGGCAGGCAGAGGGAGCGTGGGAGAGAGGTGGCTGGAGCTGCAGCGGGCGGGACTTGAGGCGTTCAGACCGTGGGAGGCATGTGGCAGAGGGGAGACCTGGCTGGCGATTAGCGGAGGTCTCTGCAGGGGCCAGGGAGTCCCATGGTTGCATGCTCGGGTTCATGGGCCCGGGCGGTGGGGAAGTGGGGGCGGCGAGCAAGGGTGTCAGCAGTGGGGAAACAGGAAGCAAGCTACTCTGTGCTCTTCTTTTGTTGCGTGCACTGGTCCTAAAAAGTCTCTACACGGGGCTCTGTGGTCACCTCTCAGGGTCACAGAGCATATTTTCTTATAACTTTTTCCCTTCTCTTCAAATATAATTCCCGTGGGACCCTGGGGCGGGATTTGGGACCCGGAGTCCTCATCTGACTATTGCTTGTATAAAAATAACTCCATGAACTCCAGAACTCCTGGGGACATTTAGGAGAGAAGGAACCTTTTAAGCCAATTGCCTTGGCATGAGGGGCCATCTTCTATTCCCCTTAAAGGGAGGTGAAAAGATAGCTGTGGGGGCGAGAGTGTCCCTGCCCCGAGGGGGCCGGGGGCCGGGGCCCAGCATGAGCCGCACTGTGGCCACTCCGCCGGGACGTGCTTGGAGAGTATTCCCAAGTGCCTCCCCAGCTCCTGTCTTCCCTTCCTCAATGACATTCCCAACCTTTCCATTCTCTTCCAGACTTGCTGGTGGTGAACCATCTAAAGATGGAAGGAAGGGAAGCCAAGGGAGGATTTTCTAGGGTCTTTCAGGGTTTGAGCAAAAGGGGACAAGGACAAGCCCTTTAGTCTCTAAAATCCTGCTCTTGGACTGTCCCCTGGTTCTGGTGGTACCACTGGGGCGGTGACCCCAGACCCAGCCTGGAGGAACGGGCAGGGTGGCCCCCTCCTCTACCTCCGTTCTAGAACTTCTCAGTCTCCCCGTGTTTATGAGCATGCCCATTGGTCCCCTGCCACCTCGCGAGATGGCGGAGTGGGAAGGGCTGTGGCACCGACTCAGGCATCTCATTCAAGTGTTTTGCTAGGTGCTCAGCAGATGCTTTTGCCGAATCAACTGCCATGTGTGAAGGAAGAGGAGTCGGGGTTGCTACGGGCCTGGCCAGAGAATCCACTTCCCTAGCTTTCTTTCTGGGGGTAGGATGGCTAGAAGCAGCTGTGAAAGGAGAACCATATGCAGCCAAAGCTGGCTTAAGGGGCGGACGGGACGGTTCACATGAAGGGGATGAGCTTTTGAAGCAGCTGTGGGAAGAAGCCAAGAAAACATTCTGGCAAACTTTGCATGCTCGAGGGGGCATGGCGGGAGCCCCTGAGGACCGGCCAGGGCAGGGTGACCCCTAGCGTCTACAGAGAGAAGGGGCAGGAGGCATGTGGGGGGGCGGTGTGTGGTCAGAGAGGCATGCAGGCGAGAACCACACACGTGCGGAAGCCCGAATCGGCCATGCAGGCAGGGGAGGGTGACGCCATACCAATGGGCATGGGGCATCCAGTCCGTCCAGCCCTGGTAACCCCGGCTCCCCTTTCTCTCCTTTAAAACCTCGGTGTCCCTGTTCACAAAACCAACCACGATGATTATTTAGGTCAAGGCTGGCCAGCTCCGACTGTGGAGTGGAGAGGCCCAGTCCCCCCCCAGCCAGGATGCAGGACCCTCGAGGCAGCTACAAGGAGGGCCACAATCCCAGCGGATTCCCACTTCCCAGATTCAACTTTTGTGCTCTCTCTGGCTTCCACAAGAGCTGCGCTTTGGAATGTTTACAGCCAGCCCCCTCTCCGTTTAAAGACTCGCTTGGAATAAACATGGATGAACTTCAAATTTAGCGTATCATAATTTTCAGAACCTTCAAACGGATTGTGAGGGCACTTGAGAAGCCCGGCTAATGTGCCACAAATCCTTCCTTATAAGCTTGTTTGGGGGCTCCTGGAGGGGCTCTGTCTACTGATTTTGGTCTAGGGCTTCACAGGCTTTAGTTGCATGGCTAGTGGCCGTGGGAGGCTGTATATGAAGAGCCCCCTTTCTGGCCTTGGTCTACCCCGTCTGGGGCCTGGGGTCCTGCATCCTGACGGAGGATTCCAACAGCTTGAACTGCTGGCCACAGAGGTGGCCACGAAACGAAGAAGGCAAATGTGTGGCTCACAAATGCTGTGCTGGCTTCCAGAGCTATCCTGGAGCGGAGGGCCGAGGCCTGCTCCAAGATCCCTTTCCTCGGGGACCGGGTTCTTGTTTCCACACATCAATTGTTCTGCGTCTTCAGAGGAAAGGGATTTGGCCAGAATGACTTGCAGCTGTGGTTTGAGGGTACCACCACCAGCAGAATTTTCCTGGCCAAGTGACAGGATAGATTTGATAGCATCAGTGTAGACATTCGTTCGTCATCTTAGCTTATTTGCCTTCTTGGTTTCCAACTTGCAAACCTCAAGGAAAAAACCAGAACAATGCAAGTGATAAATGAAGACATACCAATGGGCAGGGGGCATCTAATCCAGGCGCTCCTTGGTCTCCCTTATCCCCTTTGGACCCTCTAGAGCCTTTCTTCCCCCTCTCCCCCTGTAAATAATGGTTTAGTCCAAGAGAAAAAAATAACATCAAAACTTTAGGATCATTCATGTGTTAAGGTTAGAAACAGAAAAAGGAAAAAAAAATTAAAGAGGGAAAATAGCGTGGCTTAAATAGGATATTCTTCCCAATAGGATTTGAGGTCAGCACCCATCCCCACCCGTCTATAAGCTGGGAACGCTGGCTAAAGCCAGGTGGGCAGGGCGGCGGCGGAGGAAATCGAGGCCTGGGGGCTGGGAGCCAGTAGGGCTCAGAGCTGGAGGTGGAGGGAAATGTAGGAGGAAGCTACTCAGGGCCAGTTTTGCTAATTCTGAGCCCAGAGCGGGCCTGGGATGAACAGGGGGACCAACTTCCTTCTCCTGGTGGGTCCATTTTTGAAAGACTTTGACCTGACAACTTTGGTCCCAATTGGTTTCCATTCCTTTGATATTCTATTAGGAGGCAGGATGATTTTATTTAGAGCCCTGGGGTGTGTGTGTGTGTATGCGTGCGTGCGTGTGAATGTGTGCACATATTGTGTGCACGTATGTGTGTATGAATGCGTGAGTGTGTGCTTGGGAATGTGTATACACGTGTGTGCATATACGAGTGTGTGCTTGTGCATGAGCGTACACGCTCACACGTGTACGTGTGTGTCCAGAGCCCCTTGGGTGGCCCCTGGCTCTCTGATAGGTCCTCCCACTGTATGTGGGTCTCTGGTCTCTGGTCTGAATGGGAGGCAGCTAATTTGTATACAGACAAGTTGGTTCAAGGAACTCATTTGTTTCTGAAAAACTTCAGTAAGCATCATCTTTCTAAATCGAACCCCTTTCTGTATGTGTCGGGGTCACTCTCCATTTCAAGAAAGGCTACGGGGACTTCGCAATGAATTTGAGTTTGGATTTTCCTATGTTGGGTCTCCTTACAAAGGGGCCAAATGTGCCCATGGGGAGTCTTCTTGGGAACAGTTCTCCTCTGCTGCAGAAGGCTGACTGTCTCATGCCGGGGGGCTTCCAGAATGCTCCTCGAGGTGGACAAGGCCTTGAAGGCAGGTAGCACAGGGATCAGAAGAAAGGCTTGGAGCCAGAGCGGGTCCCGCCTATGACCAGCAGTGTGTCTTTGGCAAGTTACTCAACCTCTCTGAGCCTCATTTTTCTTCACCTGTACCACGTGGATAATAGCTCCTGCCTCAAAACTTTGTTGTGATGTCTTTGGGCACATTTAGTGGTGCCATTTAATGGTGGCAGAGAGTCCGTGCTCAGTAATGATAGCTGCTTCACCATGATTACTGTGGTGACAATGACTTCCCGCGAGCCTGTCCCGGAGCCAAGCCGGCTGCCCGCGGTTTGGCCCGGCACGTCTACCGTGTTCCCGTAGTGGCAGATTGCACGGCTCCTGGGGGTGCAGGGGGACCAAGGACAAGAATGTTTCTTATGTTTCTCTGAATCTTTGGAAACGCCTCAAATCTCTTGATTCCAGAGGTTCCCTGTAATCGCCAGTGGATTGTTCTGAGTTTTCTAATGTGCAGACGCTTCCTTGGAAAGTGATGTGTTCAGGAGGACACGTGTATAAGCGTATTAGGTGCCATCCCATTGGCTCTGAGCTACGCCCGCCGATGAGAACATGACGGCGTGAACAGTCCCCGAGCAGTGGACCAGCAAAACCGCTAGCTGTTTGGATGGGAAGCCCCAGGGGAAACTTTCTCAGCAAAGTGGTCCCTCTTTCTCCTCGGGTCAGGCCAGTGTAAAAGTGAACGCAGTTGCCTATGTCCAAGGGGTGGGCAAAACTCCCGAGGAGTTGGTGGGGGTGGAGTTCCAGGTCCCGGATGATTTGCCTTCAGGCAACAGAGGGTCGGCAGCGGTGGTCCTGACTTTCAGGGTGTGTAGCTTGCACTATGGGGAGGCAGGTCCTAAGGGCCCAAGAAATGGCTTTAAAGTGGGTGTCCTTCGAAGGTACTAGAGTACTAGCTTTACCTACAACCGCCCTGCCTCCCACCCCCAAAGAGTGACACAAAAGTGGCCCTGGTAAAGAAGGGATTGTAGGCGGGGAAAGGGCAAATAAAAGCTTTCTTTAAAAAATACAGATACAGAACTTGATTTCAGAGGAACTGAGTTGAAGCTGGGAGAGTGGAGGGGAAGGATGAGGGGGATGGGGTCTGGGGATGGGGCGAGCGCGTCTGCGCGAAGTACTGAAGGAGAGAAGGAAGGAAGAGTCCGGCCTAGACCAAAAGAGATAAGGGAGGGCGGAGAGGTAAGGAGGCCAGGGGGACCTGGCGGAGCAGGCCTCTCGCACACACAAGCACGCACACACACCCCAGCCGGGGCGTCTTGAAGAGTGACGGCAACCTCCCTGCATGCACGCAGACTTTCCAGTTGGCTGGCTTGCAGGCAGCTCCACCCCTGCACCCAATTTTCCTGATGCCAAATGCCAAATTCATGCCACCCTTTATCTCCCCCCGCCTCGCCTTTTAAGCTGGCTCCACGTGGGACTTGAACTCATGACCCTGAGATGGAGACTGAGCTGAGATCAAGAGTTGGACACCTAACCGACTGAGCCACCCAGGCGCCCCTGGGGCACCCTTTATCTTGTGACGAACTCTTTCATCCTAAACGTGGCTCCTGTGCCAAATTCCCAGGGCTGTTAGAGGCTGGGAAGAGTGTCCCTTGTGACAAGGACAGGACATTCTTTCCACGGCCACGTGTGTTCTCTTAGAAAACGGCCTGTTTTGGGCTCTGGGCCTTAAGTGCTACTACAAGGACCTTCTTCCTTTCAGGAATGGAAAAGAGGCTCCAAGACCGTTGCCTGGTGGGACACAGAGAAGCATAGTTTTAAGACGGGGGTCCCCGTTCACTGTAAGACGGAGCAACGGGCTTGCAGCGCGCCCACTTGGGCCTCTCTAATGGGCCCAGGCATGACATGTGGTGAAGTTCGAGAGCGGCCTCAGGCAGCCACCTTCTCATGCCTGGTGGGGGCCGGGGCTCGGAACACCTGCAGCTTCGCCTTCACGAGCAACGGTGAGGCTTCTAACTAGAATGTCATCGAAGCCCCTCTGGTCTTTTCCCTTGACCAAAGCGTCACTATTCTGAGCTTCCAGGCCTCAGGAAAAAGAACTGGCCGTGGCAAAGCGCCGACTCTGCGTACAACTTCCTTTGTTTTGAAGGCTTTCTTACGAAGCCCTCACATCTCCCCCCAGGAGGTCTGCTAGGGCCAGTGGTATTAAGAGGTCTGTTTGAAGAGGCGAGATGCAGGGGGCACTCTTCCAGGACATTCTGGTGTCTTGAGAGTCAGATCTCTCGAATGGAGGACACAAGCTGTTGCTTGATCCGCAAACCTCCTCTTTGGAACTAGTCAGTTGTTCTTTACGGGTTACCGGAAAGCGAGTTCGTGCAACCTGTTTTCTGGACTTGACCTTTACTAAGTGACATACTGCTAATTGACAGGTGGGGCAGGGGAAGGCTTGTAGAGCCTCAGGGAGGAGAAGTGGAGGAGAAATATTCTCCCGCTGATTCCTGGGGCCTCACTGGCTCATTCAACAACCCCAGAGCCTTGCCTCAGCGCCGCCCACCACCTGCCGCCCACCACCTGTGATAAGGGCCTTGGCCTGCCCCACCTCCGCCTCCGAGGGGAACGTGATCATCTCTGGTTGTGCAGCCTTCGAATGGCTCACTGCTGCAAGCCAACTGAAAAAGTCATAAGAAATAGCTTAAAAGTATTAATTGAATATGCTAAAGACAACCAGAACACTTTATAATTAAGTTAGAAAGGAGATTAGTATGCCAGCTAAGAGGTGGAATGATCAATTTTTTTTCTTTTTCTTTTTTCTTTTTTTTCGTGGCCTCAATTCTTTGATGGCACAGGAAGGAAGGTGGGCTTCCCCACCTGCCTTACCAGCCAGCACATTTCCGGAAGTAGGTCTGATAATTCCAGTGGTTTCTAGACTTGGTCTTCCATGGACAGTTTGGTAGGCGTCACTCTGCCTGCTTCCTCTTCTTTATAGAATATATGGAACAAATTGAGTTACTTTCGACCAGCTGCCAGGAAGGAGAACTTAGGGCTAAAGAAGAGTTCAATAAATCTTAAATGGAAAAGACCGGAATTGGTGCAGGATATAAGCATACAGATTCTGGCACTTTCTATCCATGAACACGGTTATCAGTGTTCAAAGATCAGCTGGAGGACCTGGGATCTGGGAGCCACCTGTTCTGCCTCTAAAGCTCTGCGGGAGCTTGGTATATTTTGTCGTGGTCCTGGCCTGTCTCTCCCTCTGCGACCCTTGGACAACGTGACCCACTAGAAGATGCGCTGGGGCCTCTAAGTGCTGTGGGTCACACTCTGGGGACCACTGTGATGAAGCAGCAGGCGAGACCTTCTGTGAACGGACCCACAGCTCATCTCTGGGTCCGAGGTGGTTAAAGGGTCCCTGCTGAGGCCAGATGTGGCCTGTGTCAGATACGTGGCATGTGTCCCATCCTACCACATGGCTGTGGGGGCCGTGGACGTTCAAGAGCTCTGTGTTGGTGATGATGGCAGAAACCAAAGGGACAGCAAAGGACCTCAGAAGGTACAATTCGTTTCATGGTCCTGCAGGCTCTTTCCAAGAGAAATAATGGCTGTGATCATTTTTTAAAGGGTTGGCTGCTTACAACAGAAGTGTGCTTGTGCTTGGAGCCGGAATTTATTTCTCTCTCACCAGTGGCCTGGGATGCCTGGCGAAACGAAATCTCAGAAGGCTACGACTAGGTGGGTCTAAAAATACCATCGAGGGGTCCATTAGCAGGGCACTGCAGAGAGTGGGCACGTGGCTCCCATGGCTGGACGACAATGTTAATCTGATGACCACTGTGGGATTCGGTCTTCCCTTGCCAGGTGGGAAAAAACCATGCTTCCATTTCAGGATCAGGCCCCAGGCTGCCTGCACGCTAGAGTAAGCCCTTTACTACAGACAGAGCCTTTTAATTTTGGATGATTTACCAGGAAGAACTGTATTTGCCAATGTTGGGTCAGGAATTCCCAATTGATCATTCCACCACATCATGAAGACATTAGTAACCACAGCCAAAGTGCAAGGGCTCAGACTCACCCGGTTTCCTTTGTCTCCGGGTGGTCCATGTAAACCCTGCAATAAGTCACAGAAATGAAGACACGTTCATGAGAAAGGACAGGAGGGCCGTCCAGGCTTTCCTTCCAGGCTCAGAAAGGTCTGATGCCTAATTCCTCAGAGACAGGCTTAATTATCCCCGTTTTACAGAAGGGGACAAAGGGACTTGACCTCTAAACACATAATGAGTTATGGGCGCTCGCTCTGCAGCTGAGGCCCTGGCCTGTGGCCCTGTTCTTCCAGCTCACTCCTCCCGACAGGTGGCAGGTGCTGAGGACACGGTCTGTGTGCAGAGCAACTCTCCCGGCAGAAGAGGTGTTTGCATGGCTCTCCCGCCAGACTCTCGCCAGAAAAGTGACCCCAAAGCTGCTCTTTTCAAGGTATAGGCTGTCCTCCATGACTTCAGCTAGGGAAGCAGCACCAGGCAAAGACTGGCTGGGGTTGGCTGGACCAAAGTTGCTTGGGCAGCCACACATGGAGCTGGTGAACAGATGTACAACCTTCAAGTGGGTGGAAACAGTGGTCCTGGCTGTCTTAGGCCATCCACTTTTACAACAACACAGCAGGAAAACTGGGGAGGCAGTCCTGTCATGAAACATCTCCTTCTTGCATTATAATGATCTGGCTTTGCTTCTGCCCTTCCTCAATGGCCGTGCACATTCATCTGAGAGACCCCCCCCCGCATCCCTTCAGATGGTCCATGTGGCTGAGGACCTGGTACCCCAACAGGGCCCACGTGTGCCCAGGTTTGCCTCGAGCAGTGCCCAGCAGGGAAGTTCCACGACCACGTGGCTTTTGGCAGCTTCCTCTGTCATAGAAATCAGCATTCTCACTCGGCTCTGGATGTTTGCTCCAGGCTCTGGGTAGTCTGCCCTGGCAGGGCTTCTGCCGGGGGATAGCGATGGGGGACAGAAAGCTCCAGTCGCATGACACTTACAGGAAGCCCAGCTGCTCCTGTTGGTCCTGTCATCCCCAGGTCACCTTTGCTGCCCTGAAACAGGAGAAAGAAACCCATGAGCTCCCCCTGATGTGGGAACCACCTTTCGCCCACCGTTTTCTGTTTCTGTAGGAAACCCCGGGAACCTCTCCGGTCCCTTCAAAGAGCCCTCTACGAAGCAAGGGCTCAGCGGAGGGTGTGACTGGTGTGGACTCCACCATGGCGGGGCGCTTGGAGGCCCCCCTCCCTCCAGCGGAGCCCATTCCCCAAGGCCCTCTGGAAAGACTGGACAGTGCCCTGAAGCTACTGGCTGGCCTCAAGCAGAAGCCGAGAGGGAAACAAGGAGCAGGAAATGAGCATGGACAGAGAAGAGGGGGGAGAGAGAAAAAGAGCTTTGTTTTCTTCTTTGAGGCCACAACTGTCACCTCTGAAAGCAGCCATCCTGGTCCCCAAAGTGGCTGTGATCTCGGCAGGGACGTCTATGTCCCTCTTCAGAAGCTCCCCACCCTCTACACCCTCAGCTGTGTGGTCAGTGAGTGAAGGGGACGGAGTCTCCCCTGCGGCAAAAGGTCCACAGATGCCCCGCACAGGGTCTAGCGCCCCCACAGCCCTCTGGTGATCTCCTGCCCCAAATGTGCGGAACCTGGGGCCTGGCTGGGAAGAGCGGACCCGGATGGGATGGGCGGCCCTCCTCCTCCCCTGAGCCAAGTCCCCCAGCAGCACCACACACGCGCCCACTCCATGGGAGACAGTGACTGTGGGAGCTGGCCTAACGTCCTGGCCTCCTGACTTCTTGGTGTTGCCCGGGATTTTCTTACATTACCTGGCACTCCGTTCCATGCTGTCTCCCTAAATCATCACAAAGCTTAGGTGTGTCCGCTCCCGGCAGCACCTGGGGCCCAGCCAGACGGAGCCTATGACCGACGCCAGGTGACCAGGAGCCGGGCACAGGAAGCTGTCCGTCTGTCCACTCGTAGCGATAAAGTGGGCAACTCAGGCCGGCCGGCTCCCCCACAGGCTATTGTGAGGGTCACCGGGCGAGGCCACGGATGAGGTGCTCGCTGGGCTGGGGGGACGGGTTGGGACCAAGGACCTGCGGCTGGGCAGGGGCGCTGGACCCCTCCTGGTGTGCAGGGTCTCTGGCGACTGAGCACTCACCCTCTCGCCCTTTGGTCCCGCTGGGCCTGGGACTCCGATTGGTCCTGGAGTACCCTGGGGGAGGTGAAAGAAAGCAAAGGTGAGGGGTCTGATGTCGGTGGGGAGCCCCGGGAGGCCCGCCCGGCACTGGAGATGAGCAAGGTCCAAAGGCCCATTTTCAGGGTTGGCGAGGCCAGGCTCGTTCAAGGCAGTCATTGGACTGGGGCGTCTTCCTGTTTGGGGCGGGGGCCTCGGGCAGAGAGGCCTCCCCCTGCCTCAGAGCCAGATTTGAGGAGGGAAACCCTTTTGCTTTCCCACCAAGCTTGCCAAGGCTGAAAACGGTAGGAGAACTACTGCTTCATTTGCTCCCTGAAGCGCTTGGCGGGGAGTGGGGGAGGCCATCGGGTGGGGGCAGGGGCCGGCACCTGTTTGCTGTTGCAGCTCCACATGCAGGGGGGGGTCATGCCACAGAGACTGATGCAGATGCACACACACAGAGGCAGGCGCGGGGGGTCATTCAGCCACTGCTCACCCCACCCGCCCCACCGCGGGCCACCCTGGCCTTCAGCCTCTGTCCCCACGCCGTGGCCCTACGGGGCAGGCCGGACCGGAGAGTGATGGGTGCGCTTCCGTGTCTGCGGGCACTAGCCTGGCAGCGAGGGGGGTCCCACCGCTCCGGACTCCGGGCTCCGGGGGAGTCGGGGCAGCTGGAGCCTTCGGCTTAGAGGCGGGGCGGGGCTGGCTATGGCACACTTAAGCACCTTTCCCAGGTCCCCATTGTCCACCCCGACTAGAAGGAGGTCTATATTTCAGGTCTATGTTGCTCTGCCTCCGTGTTTAGGCTTCCTGCTCAGACGAGGCCCTGAGGATGTGCGGCTGGCAGGTGGGCAGTTCCCGGTGCTGCCCCGGGCTCGAGCAAGTGGGGAAACACTGATTTATGTTATGAGAAAAAAAAGAAAGAGCCATAAGACGTCCTCCGTGCCCCCTCTGCAGCTACAAGGGAAGACTATGGGGTGTCAGAAATGAGAGCGGCCTGATCAGGGTCATGGCTGAGAACAGCCCTGCAGGGTCACTGGCCGGCTTCAAGTCCAGCCTCGAAGGCCTATCAATGCTGAGATATTGGAGAAGCTTCTTGGCTTTCTGACGGTCCATTTCCCCCCCCTGTAAAAGGGGGATGATGACATGAGTGTTTGCTTTCGAGGCCGCTGCCCGGCTGAAATGGATGAAACGCACCTCACGCATTTGGCACTGGTAAATGTTAGTATTCGCAGGGCGGGGTTATTCCTCCCACAAAACTTTTCCTTTAAGGTTGTGATGTTGATTTTAATGAGAAAAATACAACCTGAGGTCCAAAGGGGACAGAATCTATGACTTTGCCCTGCTCCCCTCTGTCCAGCAAGAATGGAGGACAGTTTTGGTTTCTCTGATTCCAGCCACAGATCATCCCCCTAGCCCTGACCGGCCACCTGGGGAAGGCACGCTAGGTGTGAGGAGGGTGCATAGGGACGGACTCGGGCGGGGGGGAGCACAGCCCAGAACAGAGGTCTAGTCTCTGAATGGGAGAATCTACAGTGTCGCCTCCACAAACGCGTGGTGGGGAGGGGCTCTGGAAAGGATGTGGCCTTGGGCAAGGCCCGTCACCTCCTGTGCTTTCTGAGGGCACATGCCATCGGATGAGGCTCTGAGTGGGGCTGCTCTTGGTCCTCCCCCTCTCAAAGCTCTAGGCTCCCGTTGGCATCAGTTGCGGATCCTCTCCGCCTCCAGGCCTGTCCTCCCCTCCATAAACGGAACCTTCCAAATTCATCTTCCCCCCGAGTGTCATCCCAGCCAGCTCCTTAGAACCTTGTCGTCTGGGCCTCAAGACTGTCCCACAAGGGCCAAGCTGGGACTCCCTGGCTGGTGGGGGCTGAGCACACACACCGCTCTGGTTATGGCTCGTGGGCAGGGAAGTCCAGCTGCCTGGCCCTGGATGGTCAGGGATCCCTAGACCCTGGGAAGGTGCCAGGCTTCAGTGGGAATGCCACTTCCCTAAAGACCTCACGAGGCATTCTGGGAGGGGCCTGGAAGGTGGACAGGAGAGGAGAGACTCTTTTGCTGATGCTTCAGTTGTTTGTCACCAGAAGAAGGGCCAGGTGCTTTCTAGTCATGAGTAGGTGATGCCTGTTTTCTGGAATCAGAAAGAATGGAGAAAGAGGGGACCCAAGCGTTCCTCCTTTGCTCTGCATAAACCCCTTGTTGAGTTGCGGGGCAGCCGGGGCACCACAGGCAGCAGGGTCACGTGCCCGCAGAGCACCGAGCTGGGACCGTCCCATATGATCCTAGATGCTACACCTGGCCTCACCCCAGTACATACCAGAGGGGGCTGCACAGGACTAGGAAGCCCTTGTGGGCAGACAGGAGATGGACAGAGCTCACAGCATGAAGACAACACAGCACGACGGGTACATACAGACACTGTTGTGCTTGGTGGGCACGAGTCGTGGTCCCAGCCCCTGGGGCTGGGCTCCCAGGCCTCACTCAGCCCTCCACCCCATGTCCAGCGGTCAGGAGACCCAGATTTGAGGACCCTGGGTCCACACGATGGCCAGGGGAATTCAGAGGAAGGCCACCCATCTTTGGTCAAGAGGCCTGAAGAAGTATTTCTGAACTGGGCATAGATGGTACATTTCTGGTGTTGGTGATGGGATAAGGCAGGACTCACTGGGAAAACGAGGCCACAGCGGGACAGGGACAGACAAGAGGGGTCACAGGCCGGGGGTGGGGTGGGGCGGGCTGAGGGGTAACGGAGAAGTGACACTCACCGGTGGCCCAGGCCTGCCGTCCAAACCTGAAGCTCCCTGGATGAAGGGAACATGTTTGACCGAAAGAAGGGGAGGGGAGGAACGGGAGGGAGAAAAAGGGACCGGGGGAGGGAAGAGGTGAGTGAAGCCGTGACTCCGGACAGACACAAATGCTGGTCATCAAACAACACGGGAGAAATAAGCTTGGGAGGACAGGTGATGGTATTCACACGGAAACCAACAAAAACGGACACCGAGTGGCAGTGTGGCCGGCTGCCGAGGAGGCCTGTGGCGAGCAGTGCAGATGGCCCTTCTCATCCTCTGTGCCCCCTGCCCCCCTCTCTCCTGGCAGAGCCTCCCAGAAATCCCTCTGCCAAGGGGTTGCAGTGCTCTGGGGAAAGGGATGCAGAAAGAGAATTCATGGAAAGGTGTCTGGAACCAGAGGGAGGGCCTCCTTCCCAGGACGGATCTCCCTGCAGCGGGACAAGCCTATGTGAAGGGTGGGTTGTCTTCCCAGCCTTTTTTTGCGCGGCTGTGGAGACGGGCCAGGCTGGGGAACCCCGAGGAAATCAGTACTGAGTTATAGCACCTGGCTTGGGAACGTGGGTAGAAGCTGGCCTGCTTCTGCTCTGGGGGTGGCAGGGGGGAAGGCCCTCCGATGTTAGTCCTCCCGATGCCTGACCTTTCTCTGGCACTGCATGGTTTGCAAAGCTCAGCACAAACGCAATCCATTCCTGTTCTCCCAGACAGGGGCCCTTTTAGAGAAAGAGGCTTTGGGGGCAGCTGACTGGGACAGAGGTCTAAGGCCACGTATGCCCTGGAGTAAACTGGCTGGCGGGTGGGATGCTAAGACCCGCTTGCTATGCAGCATCCAGTGATACATGAGGTGCGAGTAGGTGCTCTTGCTCCAAAGCTGGGCTGGGAAGCTGCCCCCAAGACACACCTAGGAGGCCCAGAGGGAAATTTATCTAATGATTGCCATGCGACAAACCAGAGAGAAGGCAGTGGGGACACTCCAGCCCAGTAAGGAGTGAGTTCTTAAAAACGGCTACCAGCTGAGCCTCAAGAAATGAGCCTAGGCTTCAGGATTTTAAAGGTGGGGGAATGCCCCCAGGCAAGGGAGGACAGGGAAAAAGGTGTTGGGTAGTAGGATCCTCCAGGGCCTCCCTTCTCAGATTTAGGATCACAAACTTCTGGGATGATCCTGACTCATGGCCTAGAGAGCTGAGGTTCTCCACCCCACGGCATCATCAGCATTTCCTGAGGGGAGAGGGGGAGCGTAAAATAATAGAGATGCTTGGGCCCTCCCCCACCCCAATTCAACCAGAGTCTCCAAGAGTGAGGCCAGGATAATGACTTGTTTGAAAAGCTCCAGGCAACTCCAGTGTGTAGCCAGCACTGAGAACCACTTCCGTAGGGCCAACAGGAAGAATTCCATAGGATGTTCTGGAAAAACAGGCTGCTACTCTATGGCATAAACTATGGAGGTGAAGCTGAAAATCAGAACTTCAACTAAATATCCACAAACTTTGTCTACGCAGTACCAATACCAAGTTATCTTGAGACATCTGGAGCAGGGGGCACAGACTGGTGGTTTTCAGGCCATGTGCAGGCCACTGACATATTTGGTTTGGTCTGCGGAGTTGCAAGTAATTTTGATTTAATGTTAGAAAATGGGGAGATTTCACATAAAATGCCAGATGTCCAGCTTCCTTGGAAAAATGAGACCATCTGGAAGTACTGGGCCCTCATTCCCCCCCAGATGACAGTTAGCTGAACGGAGGAGGGACTGCTCTCCTTAAGAAGGGATGCATGGCCTCCAGCGTGCCCTAGTCCCCACCACTCCCTCTTGCCTCTCTGAAGTCCCCATTCGTTGCCATATGTGGAGATGTTGTGTTGTTTTCTTAAGCTAGCAAAAGTATTTCTCTGTACCCATGTCTCTACTGAAAGTTGACAACTTAAAGACAGACTGGGCACTTTTGTCTTTCCTCCGGCACTTTCTTTGTTTATATAACTTGTTTGGTCTCTGTGCCATTTGCATTTCGACCCCAGACTAAATTCTCCAGTATTCACGAGGGCCTTGGGGCCCTGAAGGTGGACAAGGGGAGATTTGTGGTTGAGTGCGGGCAGGAAGGCTCTTTTCTAGTGAGGAGTACTTAAACGTTCTGGACACAGCTGAAGACATGGGAAAATGTCTGTTAAAGTCATCAGTTCCCTGTAGTCTGTCAGGCACATCAGCTCCTTACATGTCCTACATCTGATGCACTAATGAGGGTGTAATCATACCTATTGCTTTTGCTGTTTGGTTGCTGTGATTATATTAACCAGACCTTCAAGCTCTGCCAGGCTGGGGTAATTGGGCTTCTCTTTGTTCTTCTGCTCTTTATGGCTTCCCAGGGTGGGAACTGGCCTCGTGCCCAGGACAGAGGAAGCCCCAGTGGCTGGAAAGAGCCCCTTTGCAAGGCGATGGCCTCAGCAAAGGAGCGGCCTCTGGAATGGCCTAACCACTGACTTCATATGTGACCTCAAGTGACTCTCTCTTCTCTGGGCCCATCAGTAAAATGAGTAGATGGATCCGTGATGTCCATTCCAGCTTTCGAAAACCAAGCCACAAAGAGTGCCAGCCCCACTGGGGGGTGCGGGAGGAGGAAGCCCAGGGCTCCAGGGTGGGTGGTAGAGGGCATGCACCTGGACATAGGGGAGGCAGTGATGAGGCCAGGAGCCCACTGGAGCTTGGGGCAAAAGATTCGCCCAGGCCAGGTCCCCACATCTGGAAATGTAGATGCCTCCCGAGCAGCACCTCGCCCCCACCTGGGGTCTGATCTCAGGGCAGGCTGAGATGAGAGATCTGAGCGGCCTTAGCCTGCTGGGACCAGAGAATCTGCCTTTGTACAAGCTTTTCTGCTGTAGCCAGTGCTGAAGATAGGGAAATAGGTGGGAGTTGGAGAACATTTCACCATCTTGTTGCTCCCAGGTTCTCTAAGCTTGGCTCCCATTAAGGGCAGATTTTTATTGCCTCCGAATCAGGCACATGTAGGGCCTGAGGCTGTTCTCAGGCCACTTGAGGCTCTCCAGCTGGGGGCTCCTTGGGTGGGGGGCCCTGTCTTATTTAGCTCTGCATTCCCTCCGACACCCAGGTCGGGACCTGGCCCAGAGGAAGCCCTCGGGAAGGGAACTAGAGTCTATAGTCTTGCCCAGGTAGGAAAGCAAAACCACATGGAGTGTTCTGGAATGCTCAGAACTTTAGAACCCCCAGTTTTGCAGCAGCCTTCTCCCAGGGTCCTGCACGCCACCCCAGCCTCCTCAGGACCACCCAGCTAGGCTCCTCACAGGCTTGCTGGCTCTGAGATACTTACGGGTAATCCCAGCGGCCCTCGATCTCCTTTCTCTCCCTGGACACCCTTCTCTCCTTTTGCTCCATCTAGTCCTGCTTCCCCCTGAAGGAAAGGGAGGGGGGAGATCACACAAGGGTATGTCTCAGACAACTCGTTCTTGCATCCTGGGATCCTGGAGATAGGGGTGGGTTGGGGAGATGGGGGCAGGTAGAGGATGGAGGAAGGAGGGGGCAGAGGTGGCTGGCCCACGGATGGAGACTCTAAGAATCCTTGAATTCCTAGCCTGGTTCTACCTCCATTAGACTCCTCGGTATCCCTGTGGTAACTCTGAGGTCCCCAAAGGAAAAGGGGATGGGTGGAGCAGAGAAAGACCCACAGGGCAGTTCTAGGTCAGGCTGGGGCAGAAGTGACCGTTTGCAGAGCAGGAAAACTGGGGCCCTGCAGGGATTGGCTGGCAGGTGCCTGGAATGCCAGCATGGGAGCTCTGAGGCTCCACAACTAATTGGGACAAAAAATTGCCCAACAGTCTCTTGAGGAATATTGGGGGGGCACGGGACAATATGCCATCAGTCCCAAGGCCCTCTTACCCAGCTGAAATGCTTTTGAAGGGGGAGATTGGGAGACCCCCCCAGGCCAGAGACCAATGGGCTTGGACCCAAGGAGGGGGCCCACACTACACCCCTCCCTGTCTCCACCCTACTTCAGGGTGAGTGAAAGGTCTGGGGCAGGTTACTTGGAAAAGGATTTCCTCCTTTGCTAAGAATCCAACCCGTTACTCATAGGGTGGATTAATGGATGAGAAAATTCTAAATCGGAAGCCTGCCCAGTGTCAATGATGGGTGCTAAAAGGACTTCATTCTCTCCTGGTTGTAGCCACTGGCCAGTGTCAACACGATTCCATTTAGGGAAGGGACTGGCTGGGCTACCCGTCTCCGAAGGACTTTCCTTCTTTTCGGCCCTCTCTGACACTGCCCCTTCCCCCACCCCAGCACCTGTCACATGACCTCTTCTTACCTTTGGTCCAGGAACACCTTGGAGCCCCTGCGTTTGGAATCAAAACAAGGCACATCAGAAATGCATTTCTAGGTAAGTCAAAAACACCTCGTCCGCAAGTTGGACCACAAAAGCGCAAGGGCCTGGGGTCCCTGCCCAGGGGAAGTGGAGGGAATGCTAAGGGGGTTTGTGCTTGGGGCTCCCTCGGGTGGAGTCTGAGCCAGGCCTCCCCAACCAGGGACTGACTGTGTCTCTGTGACCCCCACAGCTGACCTAGAGCCTCATGAAAGGAAGATGCAGAAGGAACACAGCAAAGGTTGATTAGATTTATGGATGCGAAGTGCTTGGAGCAGTGTCGGGCACGTAAGAAGTCTCGGTAAATGCTGGCTGCCATTGTTCTTACTACTACTTCTGCCAATGACAATGGGTGACACAGTGCCATGGGCCTGGGAACCCTGCAAAGGAAGGACCAGCCTCTATTGGTTTAGGATGCTTAGGGGCCCTATAAAAGCCCCATCTTTTCACCTGTCACCTGGAAAGGCCAATCCAGTGGGGCTGGTTTTACATCACTTTCCATCTTAATCCAGATGTTTTTGCTGCTGGTTAGCAGGAAGGAGGAAGGGGGAGAGCAGGCATCTGACAGCAAAGGGCAGAGCTTAGTGACAGAGGGACTCCTGCGGGGTGGTGGAACCAGACCCCCGGCTGCCATGCCAGTCAACTGTTTCCAGGAGAGCCGGCAATGCCCAGTCTCTTTGGTGTCATTGACATGGTGCCGGTTTAACATGGGAGGGCAAAGGAGTAGGGATGAGAAAATCCCACCCTGGGAGGAAGAGGTGACAGCAACTGCCAGGGGGGAGGGGATGGTAGGGACCCAGTCACAGTGGGCTGAAATGCTGACAAGCCCTCCCCACTTACCGGAGGTCCGGGGGGCCCCTCTGGCCCTGGAGGCCCAGGAACCTAGAATCCAAAGGGAGATGGTTAGCCCACCCCCTGTTACACTCCAAGTGGCCTCCCCTTCTGACATGGCCCACGGTCCAAGCCAGAGGGGGACAGAACTGCCCAGCATGTGGTCTCCCCAAAGAAGGCTGAGAACAGGGTGGAAACTCATAGCAACTCATTAACCTGCACAATGTTGGGAAAAAAAAAACAACAAAACCCCACATATTGCCAGGAAATGCTGTCAAAAAGTCTAGACTTCCAGATTTTCTTGAAAAAAAAAAAGAAAGAAAGAAAAGAGAAAAACCTGGCAGCAGTAGGCCCTTGTTCATGCATGGCCATAATTGCCTGGAACTGAATAAAACCTTTCCCCTCCAGGTGGGGCATGAAATCTTCAGATTACCCCAGTCCCCACCACTCCCTATTGTCTGTGACCTGGAACTTTGCATTCATTTGTTGTGTGCCTGGCATTTGAACTTGAGACCTTTGGCTTACAGGAGCAGAGACTGGTTATATGGAATGGGGGGGGAGGCTGAGCAGCTTTTGAAAATGTCCCTCAAGTCCCCTCGGGTTTGTAACAGAGACTGCTGGTCTCTGCTTCCCTTTAATTAAAGGCAGGAGGGAGGCAAGAGGGAGGCCTGCCTGCTTCTTTCTGAGCTGGTCACCCCATCTCAACTTTGGGGCTCTTCTTGCCTTCTCAGGGTTCGAATCCCACAGAGTATGGCCAGAGTGGTGACCCTCTGTCAGGCCACCAAAGAGGAGCCCCTGAACTTGGGCAGGCCGGGTCCCTCTCATGTCTCTCGGATCCATGGACTTCTCAGCTCAATCTCTGGAAACTCCATATTCTTTTCTTAAAAAGTTCAGTGCTTTCTTTCTCTATTATAAATAAGTGATTCATGTATCCTGATTGTGGTGGTAGCTACACAGACCTACGAATGTATTAAATAAAATTCACAGACCTATACACACCCCCCCAAAAGTCAATTTTACTGTACGATAATTTTGAAAATAAAAAAACTTAAAGTAATAACAGACCCATCAAAATATTTTGTAAATTAAAGGGAATTGAAAGAATGGGAAGAATAAGTACGTGAATACTCCTAATATTCTGCTTTACTTCCTTCCACTCTTTTTTTGATGCATAAAATGTACATAAATATATGTCCATGCTTAACAATGATTTTTTATATATAATTTGATTCTCTGCTGTTTTGCATTTAACCCAAAACCCGGTTTTCTATTTTTTTTTTTGCATGTTCCGCACAAGCCTCCTTTCCATGTCTCGACTGAGCGGCACAAAATGAGTTACTCCCCGGCTAGGGCCTGGAGCCGGGCTTGGCACAAGGAACGCTGCCAAACACAGGGACTATTATACCATTAGTATTATTACCATAAGTTATTGAATCATTTCCTTCTTGTTAGAAACGTAGCCTGTTTCCAATTTTTACTTCCTTCTGGAAGGAACATTTCTGTGTGTGTAGTGCTTTTCCTGAATCTCAGAGCATTTTATCAGGAGGCCATCTGTCTCTAACTCAGGAACATACCATCTCATCAAGTTCGCTTCCCTGAGTGTGGGCGGGCCCTGGTGTCACTGAAGGTGACCTCTCCGGGGGCTGCGCAGCCTTGGTGGTCCCTCCCCTGGCTCTGTCTGTGTGGCACAGGAACTCCCACCAAGCATCCTCTCCCTCACGTGATGCTGAACTCTGTTGCTTTCCGGGCTCTTTCCCTGATATGCCCCAAATCTGCCTGATTCTCTCTCATCTTATGAGAACCTGGCCTCCATCCCCAGGACCTCTCTCCCCACTGCTCTCTCCTCTTCCCTTCACCACCACACCTCTCAGAGTAGAATGCGTCTCTCTGGAAAGCTTACTTCTCGAGCTTCCAGGCAAACTCCTACACAGTCTTCAAGATCCTGCTCAAAGGACCCATCTTCTAGGATGCTCACCCAGCTCCTGGAACGGCTCACCATTCTAGCGCTTGCTGCTGGGGACCGTTCACTGCACAGAGGAGGTTCTGTTTCTTTTCCTACCTCCAGACTCTAGCACCGGGAAGGAAACACAGCGGGTGCTCTGTGAACACCAGTGCAGGGACTGCGCCCCGGGGCTCCGAGGCCGGGCTACCGGGCTCAGTGAATGTTCGGCTTCTTGCTCGCTCCCCATGTCAGGCACCTGTGCCTTTCCTTCTAGAGCACGGAAAGGCAGGGCGTCCTGGAAGGACTGGGGGCTGACGAGGTCCCTGTCAAATACCCCCCATGACACAGAAGGCCAAGCCGCACAACCTACCTCCACTCCTGGCTCCCCCTTCTCCCCGGGCTCTCCTTTCTCTCCCTGTGGGCACAAAACACCATACGCTGTGGGTGCTGGCACTCGGGGGCGCTGGGCACAGGGACACCCTCACATCTGTGACAAACTAGACCGGGACTAGACGAGGCCGAGGTGTCGTCAAGGACCACCTCGGAGGGTGAGGGGACAGTCAGCCTGCAGTATGAAGACTGGGCAGGGGGCCCAAGATTACAGTCTTCGGGGATCTGAGGTCCCAGTACGTGGGAGGAGAGGCTGATATCGTGTGTGGACCCTGCGGTGACCTGTGACCTGTTTCTAACCAATAGAATACGTCTTATGGCCCAGGTGATGGGATGTCACTCCTGTGATTATGTTACAGGCTCATGTTACAAATTATAATGTGCCTACGTTCAGGTTATCACACACACACACACACACACACACACACACACACACACACAGAGCCCTGTGTTGGCCGCAGGCACTGAGAGAGACTCCGGCTGGCCTTGGCCTTGAACAAGCAAGCTGCTCTAATGTGAACTGCCTGTCGTGGGCAAGAGCCTGTGGCCGGAACCGTGGGCAGCCCCTAGGAGCTGAGGGCCGCCGTCCGGCTGCGGCAAGGCACCGACTTACGCCGACAGCGGCGAGCCTGAAAGAGAATGAGCATGTAGAGCAGTGGCTTGACCACAGCCTCGTGAGCGCCCCCGGGCAGAGGACCCAGTGGAGCGAGCCTGGACTCCTGACCCCCAGACACTGAGATCAGAAGTGCTCATTGTTTTCAGCCGCTGAATTTGTGATTCGTTATGCAGCTACAGAAATGACTCTAGCTCTAGGTGCAGGGCGAGGGCCAGGGGTGGGCGGTTGATGAGGAAGCTTCCGCACCACATCCAGGAGCAGTCCCTGCAGCCTGGAGCTGCTCCACGGTGGAGGGGACACATCAGGAGTCTGGGAGTTGCCTGCCTGTCCCAGCTGAGTCGGGCAGCCCTGGGGAGTAGCTCCCGAGGTCACAGGTGGGACTGTTTGACCTCTGAGGTTTTTTATACTTCTAAGAGGAGAATTCTGAGTCTAAGACTCTAGCACTTTCGAGCCAGGCTGGTGCCTGAAGGCAGAGGCCACCGTGCTGTGACCTGAGAAGTGGGAACCAGTATTCACACTCCAGTGGTCTGCATGGAGTAGATGTTCATCGAGAGGACCCGCCAGCGCCACCCCCCCCGACAAAAGGCCAGGCAGGCGGGGGTTAGTGCAGCCTCGTTGCAGGCCAGGCATCCGCTAGGCTGGTGACCACTGTGACGGGCACCCTCGCTCGCATGCCCTCATCCACAGTGGCCTGCTGACAACCTCGATACCCCACCCTCTCGCCTTACTGTAAATCCCGGGAGCCCGGTAGGGCCGGGCAATCCTGTTGCTCCGGGTCTCCCTTGGCCACCTGGTTCTCCTTTCTCCCCAGTTGGGCCGTCTAGACCCTACAGATTGACAAAGATCTCTGTTAGTCAAGAGCGAGGGCATCGCTTGAACATCTGTGACCAACTGTGGCATGCACGCATGACTCCCTTCCTTCATGGGCAGGGGTCTAGGGTGGTGCCCATTTCACAGAAGAAAACCACTGACGCACACGGAAGACGCCCGGGTCAAGTCAGCAGCCTCGCCGGGCTGGGCAAGGTGCTTTCTCTGTACAGGCAGCCTCCCCTGGGTGTCGGGCTTCTGCATGCTTGCCAAAGACGCAGGATGACACCCATGACCTCATCACCTTCCCAACAACCCAGGGAAGTATCCGGGGAGGGCATGATTAGCCCCATTTTAGAGATGAGAAAACAGAGGTCCTGCAAGCCTCAAGGACTTTCCCAAAGACACAGGAGATGACAGAATAGGCCCCTTCTCTTTTGGGGGGAGGTGGGCAACTGGCCTTCATAAAGCCAGGGGCTTGAGGGAAACCCAGGGGAGTCCCCGGCCCCCAACTCCGGACCCCAGGTTTCCAGCCTGGGCTGCAGGAGGCACCCTACAGAAGCCATGCTGGGCGTGGTGCCCCCGCGCAGGCAGGCATGCGTCCCAGGGTAGGGTCCTGGCCGGCCCGCCCTGGCACTCACCGGTGGGCCCGCCTGTCCTGTCTCCCCTTTCTCCCCCTTTTCTCCTGGGCTCCCCGGGTGTCCGTGTTCTCCCTTCATTCCTGTAGGTCCAAACTTTCCTGGGGGGCCTTGGGGACCGGGAGGGCCCATGTCTCCTGGCTTGCCTCGAGGTCCCTTTAGAAGATATTAGCAACACTTATTATAGACACTGATGGAGGGGGTAGAGAGAGAGAGCACGAAAGAATGGGAAGTCCAAAGGACATGGCTCTTCTGTGCTTGACTGACCCAGGCGAAGAGCCTGTCCACCTCCCTCGGAATCGGAGAAACCTCAGCAGCAGCCCCAGCCCGTCCCAACTGGGTCTTGCTGGCTCCTCTGGGGCCAGCATGTGGGGCTCAGGCTCCTGCAGGATTGGCCCCCACTCCCTTCCCCACAAGGCTCACATTTGGGCCTCTTCCAGAGCCTTTGGCTCCCACCCCCCACCGTCCCCCATCAGCCCAGGTCAAGGTCCCTCTTCGGACACTCGTCCAGGGCATCTGTTCTTACCTTTTCCCCGTCGTGTCCTGGAGGGCCTGGAAGTCCGATCTCCCCCTGTGGCCGGAACAAGAGAAGGTCAGTGTCAGAGCAGAGAAGAGGCACTGTCATTTACGGCACGCTGCGTCAGTGCCAGGGCCACCCCGGAGCTCTGTACTTGCACTGCCTCCATTTCAAGGAGAGGACCCCAGGGCAGAGCTGTGCGCATGAGGCCTGGGGTGTGCGCAGCAGGCAGCTAGGTCCTGGCTCCGCAGGCCACGTGTTGGCCACAATCTTGCACGCTGCCTCTGAGCACCCTGGGTACCCCAGGCTCCCAGCCCAGCCCTCCTGTCCTGCCCGCCCCACAGGGAGCTCCCTGCGTCTTCACATCAACCCAGTCCCTTTCTCTAGGTCAGGGAGGGAGGTAAAAGAGGCCTGGCCTCTGTCTTTGAGGCCAGTGAAGAATGAGCCACATCACCAAGGCATAACGATGCTATGAGAGGAGCAGAGAGGAAGGGGCAGTGAATTCTGCCTGGTAGATCAGGGGAGCCTTCAAGGAGGAGGTGGCCTTGGAGTTGGGCTTGAAATATGAGGACTTGGAAAGGTAGGGAAGAGGGGAAGGAACGTCAGGGCAGGGGCCCTCATGAGCAGAGGACAGAGGTGCAAACATGCAGGGCTTTCTGAGAAAATCACGGGGGTGAGGCAGAGTCTAAAGGGGAGCAAAGGTGGGGAGCAAAGGAGGGGGGAGGTCGGGGAGGAGCTCAAGTGCCGTGTTCCCTGATGGGGGGGTCGGGGTCCCCTCGTGATTCTGCCCGGAGCAGTGGCTTGTCTAGACCCAAGCTCTACCACAGAAGAGAAGCCTGTGAATTACGGGAGCCCAAGTCAGACAGCAGGGGATGAATGGCAGAGGGAGGTGGCAGGAGTGGGGGTGGCTGTCATGGGGGCAAGACAGGGCCTGGGGTGCCTGGGAGCAGTGGGAGGAGTCAGAGGCCAGGCTGCAGTGGTGGCTTCGCAGGGAAGATGGGAGGGTCCCCCGCTGGCTCCCGCACTCGGGGACACAGGCAGTGCCTCTGTGGGGTCTGCATCTCCCTTGTCAGGACAAGTGTTACCTTCTGGCCTGGGGCTCCGGGTGGGCCGATTTGTCCAGGAAGACCAGGGGGCCCCTAGGAAATAAAAGAAAGACCTGGGGAAGAACTTTCCACCCAAGGAGGGGTGGCCTGTTGCCAGGGGGATGTATGTGGAGGCTAGTTTATGGGGATCAGTCATTTTCAAACATCTCATCAGTGGCAGGAACGTTTTTTTGTAAAGGAAATAGCACGGGGACTCTACAATGTAAAGTGGATAAGCACTGAGTGTGTCTGGGTTAGAGTGTTGGGGTTGGGGGTGGGGGGGATCCTGGAGCCACGCCTACCAGCCTCTCCCTCGTCCTCCCTCCGAGCACCCCTGGGCTCCAAGAAGATAAATTTCACCTCCCCCGATAGGGACTTCAAAACGCCTCCAGGAAACAACGCAAATATCCATCAATAGGTGCAGGTGTGCGATACCCATCCAATGGAATATTACTCAGCAGTGAAAAATTAAGCAAGCACAGGGTCTGCCATGTCATGGCTGCAACCCAGACGTTCTTTGCTGAGCTAAAGAAGCCAGACACAGGCAGCTAGGCTGCACAATTCCACTCAGATGATACTCCAGAAAAGACAGATCGAATCCACCACGACAGAAAGCAGATCAGTGGTGTCCGGGGGCTGAGGGTAGGTGTGGGATCGACTCCTGAGGCACATAAAAGACCTTTCTGGAGTGCCTGGGGTGGTGGATACATGGGTATATACATTTGTCGAAGCTCATCAAACGTCACAGCTGAAGTGGGTACATTTCACTGTATGTAAATTATACCTCAAAGTTGACTTTAAACGAAAGAAAGATTCCATGAAAGTTTTGTTTTGGATAGCTATTTCAAATAATATCTGTTAATGTCCCCAAATGGAGCTCATTGATTTTAGAATCACGTGATGTTAATACCAAGCTCTGGGGTTGAGGCATGATGTGATTGGTGTTTGAGTCTGGGGCTGTGCATCCCCAAGTGTTCTGTGGCACACGGCCACTAAAAATAGTAAGCGAAATCAGGGGCGCCTGGATGGCTCAGTGGGTTAAGCATCTGGCTTCGGCTCAAGTCATGATCCTGG